TTACTAAGAGGATGATTTATTTAAAAGAGAGAACTTCGGGAAATAGCATATGGATTATGGGTAACCTTAGATTTAACTTTTTTTTTTTTTTTTTTTCCCCCCCAGTGAAGGGGGGGGAGGATCCTTGAAGGCATGGATGCAAATATTACAAACAAACAAACAAAAAAAATTATAAAAAATCTAAATAAAGCTTATTTTAAAGTACGGGTGAGCTTCACGTGGTTCAATTGAGGTCGGGGATTGGTGGTGGGGCTGAGCACTGGGTTGACCTGTCCTCTTATCCTGGCCAATGGGATCCATTGGGCGATGGAGGGGGGACCTGGGAGTGGGGTGGAGGTGGCCATAGAGCACTGGGCAGCTCAGCTTCATTGCAGCATCTTTTGGGTGCCAATGGGGCGTGCTGTTGGCTGCCCCACCAACAATGCCATCTTCATCATGGGTTGGGTTTGGGTTTTTTGACCTGTGGGAGCAAGCAGAATTGGGATTTCCTATAGGTAAGGATGTGGGCCAAAATCCATCCAGGATACATGGATGTGATGCCAGGGATGGAGTCCACCATGGCCAAGGCAATGAGGTGGGCATGGGAAAGGTGTAGGGCAGGATGTCCCTATTGTGCATGGAGCAACCCAACGCCAATCCAAGGTGATTCACCCTGCAGAAAACAGGTAAGAATTCGTTTTTTATCCCGTAGGGCAGCACAGCAGGAAAATATATTCCCATGTGCTTGGTTTTCTACCCCATATCTTGGGGTCAGGTTGTGCGTAGTTGGGTCTGCCCATTTCCCAACAGGCTAAGATTGGCTCTTTGGACTGGAGGATGCCAAGGCAGCCACGGATAATACAGAGCAGCAATGCAACAAAATACAATGAACATTTGGTATTTTACACATCTAAAATAGTATTGTGCACGGAACCAAGCAGGAGCGTTGTGAGCAATGGGAAGGAAAACACGCACCAGCTGCCAGCTGGCAATTCAGCCCTGTTAATTAGCACTATGATGGAGTATTAATGGGAATAAAACATGGCATTGAGGTGTGACTGCAGTGAGATAAGCCCAGCGCAGCCCGTGGCTGAGATTGGTGGCAAATATTTGCTGATGCCATATTGTGTGGCTGCCAAAGCTGAAGGAAATTGCACTTCGAAGCCAATTTGAAGAATGTGACCTGAAATCCATGGTTGACCTTTAGGTTGTCCCTGTTTTTAAGGCTGGTTGTTGCTAACTGGTCCGTGTGCATCCCTATTTCATCCTTGCTGTATCTGTTGCATCTTTGTTGCATCCCTGCTGCACCCCTACTGCATTCCCAATGCATCCCTACCATATCTTTGTTGCATCCCTGCTGCATCTCCATTCCATCCCATCTGCATCCTTACTGCATCCCCATTCCAACCCCACTGCCATCCCATCTGCATCCCCATTACATCCTTGCTTCATCCCTACTTCATCTCTTCTGCATCCCTGCTATATCCTCTTTCCATCCCCGCTACATCCCTACTGCATCCCTACTGCATCTCTGCTGCATCCTTGCTGCTCCCCAGCACATCCCAGCTATATCCCTGTTGCATCCTGTTGTGTCCCCGCCGAGCATCCCTCCCACCCCCAGAAGGGCTCAGCTGTGCTCGAGTTGCTGCTACGCCCTATGGACAGAGGAGGGAGCACGCAGCCAGGATTTCTCGCCGCCGCAGCGCTGAGAGATCTATGGAGAACCCAAAGAAACACAGAGGTGTGTCCTATTCCTAAATTAACCCTATAAAGCAGTTCTCCTCAGATACATGCAGGCTGGGGGCTCTGCTCAATCCAAACCCAACTCCTCTTTTTCCAAAGGCCCCCCCTGGGCTGCAGGCATGATGTTGGCGTTGGGCATGGTGATGGTGTAGGGTATGGTGATGGTGTAGGGCATGGTGTTGGGTTTGGGCACGGTGATGGTGTTGGGCATGGTGATGGTGTAGGGTATGGTGATGGTGTAGGGTGTGGTGATGGTGTAGGGCACGGTGTTGGGTTTGGGCACAGTGATGGTGTTGGGCATGGTGATGGTGTAGGGCACGGTGATGGTGTAGGGCATGGTGATGGTTGGTGTAGGGCACGGTGTTGGGTTTGGGCACAGTGATGGTGTAGGTCATGGTGATGGTGTAGGGTATGGTGATGGTGTAGGGCACGGTGATGGTGTTGGGCACGGTGATGGTGTTGGGCACGGTGATGGTGTTGGGTATGGTGATGGTGTAGGATATGGTGATGGTGTTGGGCACGGTGACGGCGTTGAGCACGGTGATGGTGTTGGGCACGGTGTTGGCTTTGGGCACGGTGATGGCTTTGTGGGCATGGTGATGGTGTTGGGCATGATGATGGTAGTGGTCATGGGGTTGGTTTTGGGGTTGGGCCATCCAGGAGCACCCAAAGCTCTGGAATGACCCCTGAGCCCCAAAGGGAACGTGGGTGGAGCTGTGTAACACAGCCCTCATCCCATGGCTGTGAAGAAGCCCATCCTTGGCCGACGTTCAGCTTTGCAGAAGGGAGCACAAGGAGCCCATTGAGCTGCACCAGCTCTGGTTGCAGCCCATAGGGGCTGGTTCCAGAGCTGTAGGGTCTGGCTGAAGTCACAGGGCTCATTTCCTGGGTGAAGTTGGATTGAGTTCCATTTTCTTGCAGGAGAAAGGAGAAATCTACGGGTAACTCCCACACACGAGGTCGGTGTGGGATTGGGGGAGCGTGGGGAGGCAGCCGAGCTTGAAAATGCAAATTGAACCATCCAAAGGGCAGGATGACTCTGTGCATCGGTGATTGCATGGCACCACGGAGCAGCTCTGGGCTCTTTGCCCAATGGGTTGGGCAAGAGAAGGAAGGGCAGTGCCTGCTCTGCCCCCAGGGGAGTGGAAAATCCCATGCGGCTGCGTCGAGGGGATGGGGAAATGTGGGGAAATAATGGGAAATTGTGGGTAATCGTGGGGGAAAATGGGAAATAATGGAGGAATTATGGGAAGTAATGGGGAAATATGGGGAAATAAAGGGGCAATTATGGGAAGTAATGGGGGAAAATGGGGAATAATGGGAAATAGTGGGAGAAATAATGAGAAATAGTGGGTAATAATGGGAAATAATGAGGAAATATGGGGAAATAATGGAAAATTGTGGGTAATCGTGGGGGGAAATGGGAAATAATGGAGAAATTATAGGGAATAATGGAGAAATAATGGGAAATAATGAAAAATAGTGGGTAATAATGGGAAATAATGGGAAATAATGGGGAAATGTGGGAAAATAATGGGAAATTGTGGGTAATCGTGGGGGGAAATGAGGAATTATGGAGAAATTATGGGAAGTAATGGAGAAATAATGAGAAATTGTGGGCAACAATGGGAAATAATGAGGAAATATGGAGAAATAATGGAAAATTGTGGGTAATCATGAAGGAAAATGAGAAATTATGGATAAATTATGGGAAGTAATGGAGAACTAATGAGAAATTGTGGGCAACAATGGGAAATAATGAGGAAATATGGAGAAATAATGGAAAATTGTGGGTAATCGTGGGGGAAAATGGGAAATAATGGAGAAATTATAGGAAATAATGGAGAAATAATGGGAAATAATGGAGAAATAATGAGAAATAGTGGGTAATAATGGGAAATAATGGGGAAATGTGGGAAAATAATGGGAAATTGTGGATAACCATGAGGGAAAATGAGAAATTGTGGAGAAATTATGGGAAGTAATGGAGAAAAAGTGGGGAAATAAGGGAGAAATAATGAGAAATTGTGGGCAACAATGGGAAATAATGAGGAAATATGGAGAAATAATGGGAAATTGTGGGTAATCGTGGGGGAAAATGGGAAATAATGGAGAAATTATAGGAAATAATGGAGAAATAATGGGAAATAATGGAGAAATAATGAGAAATAGTGGGAAATAATGGGGAAATGTGGGAAAATAATGGGAAATTGTGGGTAATCATGAGGGAAAATGAGAAATTATGGAGAAATTATGGGAAGTAATGGAGAAAAATGGGGAAATAGTAGGAAATAATGGAGAAATAATGAGAAATACTGGGTAATAATGGGAAATAGTGGGTAGTGATGAGAAGTAATGGGGAAACGTGGGAAAATAACGGGAAATAGTGGGTAATAATGGGTTCCAGAGCTGTAGGGACTGGCTGAAGTCACAGGGAAATACGGGGGAATAATGGATACTAATTAAGAAATAATGAGGAAATATGGGGCAATAATGGGAAATAATTGAGAAATAATGGAAAATAGTGTGAAATAATGGAAAAGTATGGAGAAATAATGGGAAATAGTGGGTAACAATGCAGAAATAATGGGAAAGAATGGTGGGAAATAATGGAGAAAAAATGGAAAATAATGGAGAAAAAATGGAAAATAATGGAGAAATAATGGGAATAGTGGGAAATAATGGGGAAATGTAGATAAATAAAGGAGAAATAATGGAGAATAATAGGAAATAATAGGGAAATAATGGGAGTAGTGGGAGATAATGGGGGAATAGGGTGAAATAACAGAGAAATAATGGGAAATAGTAGGTAATAATGAGAAATTATGGGAAATAATGGAAATATAATGGGGAAATTATGGGAAAGGACAGGGAAATAACAGGAAGAAGTGGGAAATAATGGAAAAATAATGAGAAATTATTGGAAATTATGGGAAATAACGGATAAATTATGGGAAATAATGGGAAATAATAATGGGCAGTGCTCCGTGGGAAAGGGAAGTGCCGGGGGAGGCGGAGGGGGAGCCCGGAGCGGGCGGAGCCGGAGCTGCAGCCGGAGCGCAACGCTCCCAGCCCGGCCCCGGCATCACAGCACCGCCCCGGGGAGGTTCCCCGCCGCCGCCGCTGTCGGGAGGTGCGTGGCGTCCAGGGGGCTGCGTGGGGCCGGGAGGGGAGTGGGGTCCTGTGGGACCGGGGTTGGGCTGGGGTTGCGTTATGGCTTCGGGATGGGATGAGATTGGGACGAGGGTTGGCATCGGGTTGGGGTGGGAGCGGGTGTTGTTCGCCGGTGCCAGCATTGGGAAGCACAAAGAGCAGGAGAAAGTAACGTGTGGGACTTGGGGGGCACAGGGGTATGGGGTGGTATGAGGATATGGGGGGATGTGGGGACATTGGGTTATGAGGATGTATAGGGATGCAGCCTGCAGGAGTGTAGCGCCAGGCAGAAGGTGATGTGTGGGGCAGGGATGTGGGGCAGGCGTGGATGTATGGGGGCTATGTGTGGATATGGGACAGAGATGGGGGTATGGGGTCATGTGGGGTTACATGGGGTTATGGGATCACAGCCTGCAGGAGCGCAATGCTGAGCAGGAGATGGTAATGTGGGGCAGAGATGTGGGGTGGAGATAGGGGGCAGAAGGACATGGGGACATGGAGGACACAGGGATATGGGGACATTGGGAAGTGGGGTGATTTGGCACTGTGGGGCCCTGCAGGAGTGCAATGCCACACAGGAGGAGGTGGGAGATGTGGAGCAGAGATGAGGAGTACAGTGACATGGAGTATGGAGATATGGGGTGGAGATGTGGGGCAGAGATGGGGTTTGGGTTACATTGTCACCTTGCAGCACTGGAGGTGGCTGTCCTGAATGCAGGAAGGGATGGGAAATGGCAAACCCTACACTGAACCCAACAGTGCTTTGGGGTCGGAGCACAACGCGGCTGCTGGAGGTGCAGTGTTTGGAGAGCAAACAAAGCTTGAGGTGGCTCTGTAGGGCAGGTCTGAGCTGTGTGCTGTGTGCACATGGGGTTTCTGGTGGGAGTATTGCTGCAGTTCTTCCAAAAGACTGATCAGTGAGGAGCTTGGCAAAGCAAATCTGTGTGCTTTGCTCAGGGGTGGGTGTCCAATCCCAAATGCACGTCTTCATCCCGATGAGTTTCATGGCTGGTTGGTGTCCGGATGGTGTCCAAGTGGTGTCTGGATGGTGCTGTGGGTTCCAGAGGAGGGTTTGCTGCTGGAGATGGGCTGGATCTCTCAGCTGGCAGAGTGGGGCCCACGTGATGCCTTTAATTCCTGTATCCGCGGCATGAAAAGTCAGAATCAGGAAATCTGAAAGAAAAAAAAAAACCCAGCGAACCAAAGGTACTGAATACAATACTATGTAAAGCAGGAAGAGAGCAGGCCAGGGTGCTGGGAGTTCCCCAGGCTGGTTTGTTTGGCTCAGGCTTTTCTGCAGCCGCCGTGATTGCCGTTGGTTCTGAACCAGCCCGGAACCAAAACGGAAGGGCAAAGCTTGGGGCAATCCTCCATGGAAGGGAAGTGTGCAGCCCAGCTCACTCTGCCAGTGCTTTTATTCCCTTTAAATCAAAACCAAAGGGGACTCTGAGATTGCAGAGGGATTGGGAGCAGAAAGAAGAGCTCACCCGGTTTTGCAGGAAGAGGCACCGCTTTGCTGTGGGCACCTCCTGGGGAAGTGCCGTGGGGAGGGGTGGGTGAGCCAAATACCTGCATAGGAAATAACTCCGAAAGTGCCTCTCTGGAACGCAGGGAGCAATTAGTGCCAATCGCTGCTGGCAGGAAGCAAAACCCTACAGCTTGTCCCTCTGTCTTGCCGCGTTCCCCCCCTAAGAGGCGATGGAGGTGGCTGGAGGTTGGCCAAAGCCAACAGGAGTTGGACAAACTCACAGCAGGGAGAGCTGTGGGTGTTTCCCACTCTTCTGGGTTATGGGGTGGCTGAATACCATGCAGGGCTTGTGGAGGAAAGGGTTGTGGGAATGGGCTGAGCTCACAAATTAGAAGGAGAAATCATTAATGAGAAGGTTCCCTGGGTGCAGACATGGACATGAAGGCAAGTGCCTTGGAGCTGACATCAGCCTGCCTGTTCTCGGGGCTGGGGAGGTGCAGGGAGGAGTTGTCCACAGTGTGGGAGCCTCAGAGTTCAAGGTTTGGGCAAAAAACCAGAGAGCTGTGGATGCCCCATCCCTGAAAGTGCCCAAGACCAGGCTGGATAGAGTTTGGGCAACCTGATCTGATGGAGGCAACCAGCCCACAGCATGGGTAGGGGCTGGATGGGCTTTGGAGTCCCTTCCAACCCAGGTTTTCTGTGTTTCTACAGTCTTCCAACCCAACCATTCTATGGGTCTTTGGTCTTTAAGATCCCTTCCAATCCAACCATTCTATGATTCTATGTTTCTACGATACTGAAAGTTGTCAGAGGCAGATGCTGAGCCACCATCAGCCCCAGGACCACATTGGTCATCAGCTGTGTGTGTCATCCCCTGCTGAGCTCATTTGCCTGCAAGGTAAAAATGGTCCCATGTGTCATGACCTGGGTGGCCGGCCCCAATGGGATGAGCATCCACTCTGACCTCATCCAGGGAGTGGAAAACCCTGGATTTCACCCTGAGCGGGGCTTGGAGCTGCAACCTGATGGCAGTAGCAGGAAGGGGACGCAGTGAATTGGTTATGGGGAGCAGCGAGGACTGCTGTGGTTTCTAGTAAAAGAAGGAGCTGAGTGCACACAGAGCCGTTCTGGTTTAATGATTCGGAGTTCCTGATGTAAATCATTGACAGCAGTGAGCACAAGACCGCAGGTGTGCGTGGGATGGGGACAAAGGTGGCTGGGGCTGCTGGTGTGGGGCTGGCTGTGGGGCGGGGGCTGGCTGTGGGGAAGGCTGGATCTCTGGGCACAGACACAGGGCATGTCCCCATGTCACCACTGAGCTGGGAGCAGAGCAGTGAGGGTGGTGAGTACGGACTGGTTGCACGTGGTGGCTCATGGTGGCAGTGAACAAAGTGGGGAAAATGGTTGCAAAACAATATTTGGGGGTTTCTGGATTGCAGCACAGGACTGGGAATTCCCTGCTGCCAGTTGCCAGAGCAGGGAGGACATGTGGCAGCTGTTCTGTGCTGCTTCATCCTCCTCTAGATGGTTGGATGGATGGATGGATGGGTGGATGAATGAATGGATGGATGGATGTCCATGGCCACTGCCAAACTGGAGGTGCATTTCTGGCTATAGTAAGGCTTTGGTTTGGTGTTTTCCTGGAGGTGCTGCAGCTTTCCCCATGCTGGCACGTTCCCTTTTCACTGAGGCTGCACCGCTTTTTCCAGACCTCTTCTCCAACCATTGACGTCACAGCAGTGGGGCTATGGCTACGGCAGCGAGCTCTGATAAGCCTAAAGTAGAGATAATTAGATGGTGAGAGAGACACGGACGTCGCCGCGTGGGTTAATGCGATTTGCCCTCTCTGCAGGGCAGGGATCTGGGCCAAACTTTTCAACACTGCAATGACGGAGCAGCTTAGAGAGGTGCCAGAGGGAGGCTGGAGACGGTGGGAAGGTGCACTGCTTTTGGAAACCTTCCATTCCTCCAGCAAAATGAGTGCTCTGTTCCTTTCCCGTCATGTCCCTCCCCACAGATCTGCGGCTGAGGGCACTGCGGTGCTGTGATTTCTCCTCCCCCAAAGCCCTGGCAGTGCTTTGCAGGTGGGTGCTCAGTGCCTGCACGATGCTCTGCTGGATGGATAGCTTGAGGATAGGAGTCTGTTGGTAGGGGAGAGAGTGGCACCTTGGGCCTTCGCTTGGTCCCGATGGCACCAGTGTGGCTGGGAATGGGGCCGGATGCAGCGGGAGGTGAGGAAGGAGCAGGACGTGTGATGCAATTCCCCATTGCAATAAGCTCCACACCCACAAAGGTCGTCGAGTTTACAGCGACCTGCAGCATGGATGCTGTCCTCAGCACAAGGCATGGCATGGAGCTGCCAACACAGCACGGTAGGCTCTGGTTGGGGCTTGGGGGCTGTCAGGCGACTCTCTGACAGTGAGTGCTGGTGCCAGGGAGCAGCTGTGGATGATGAAAGCTCCAGCAGCAACACTTGGTGTGTCCTCACTGGGCTGCTTTGTAGGGCAGGAACTTCAGGAGAGGTGAGGAGCAGGGCTGGGGCTGTGCTGAATGCAGAAAGAGTCCTTTGGGAGCATCCAAAGGGGAATTTAAGAGCGGAGGGCTGAGGGGGAAGTTTGCTCTGAGTCCCCATTGAACTTGATGGCCTTTAACAGTCCCCATTTCCTTCCCTGGCTTGCATGTCTTTTCCTCCAAGTTGCTCTGTTTTCTGAGAATGCTGCTCATTTCTAGCCATGACCCAGCGACCCAGCACACTCTTAAGCTAAACAAGCAAACATGAACTAGGGACCATCGGCATAGATTGCCATGACGCGGAGCAAAGGCGTATATGGGAAAAGCATGCAGCAGCATCCTGTCCAAGGGCTCCTTGCACAAACAAGCACTGCAAAGCCAAGAAAGGAAAACAAAGTGGCGTGTTTGCACAGCTGCTTGCTGACTTTGGCACCCATGGGATGCTGCAGTCAGACTGTGGCATGGAAATCTGGGGTCCTTGCTGCATTACCCACATGCAGCTTGCAGCGTGAGGTTGCACTCCTTGCTGCCATCCCTGCGTGCTGAGGTTGAGGCGAGCTGCCAGGAGATGCAGTTGCATGTGTTTATTTTTGGAAATACACATCCCATGTGTAGGGCTGGGGAAATGCAGGCATCCCGTCCAGGATGGATAGGCACCATTGGCTTGGCTGGCTGTGAACCAGAGCCCTCAAAGCAAAGTGCTTGGGTCAGGGTGCACCCACTGGAACGATGTTCTCTCTCTGCAGGTCTGCCCATCTGCTCTGCCTGAGCGCCGCACGCATGGTAGCCACCCGGGGCCACCAGGGATGCAGTGAGGTGGCCAAAACACAATGGCCCCATCTCGCACCAACGGGTCACACTACGCACTGACAGCCATCGGGATGGGGATGCTCATCCTCGGCATCATCTTGGCTGTGTGGAACATTGTGCCTGGCTTCGGACACCCCGATAAACCCAACGCTGGGAATAGCAGCAAGCCTGACCGCGGTGGTGGGGGCATTTTTAAGAGCAAGACGTTTTCTGTGGCCTATGTGCTGGTTGGGGCAGGTTTGCTGCTGCTGCTGCTGTCTCTCTGCTTGAATGTCCGTGATAAGAAGAGGCAGAGTGAGGATATCCCCAGGGTGGTGCAGCACCAAGCGTCCGTGGAGCCTTCACAGCAGGAGGAGGACAGGTGAGCCCTGGGGGGGCAGCAGGAGCTCAGGGAGAAGCAAACCCAGCTGTATTGATGGTGCTGTGGGTGAAAGGAAGCACCATGTATATGTAAGATGTGCTCTAGAAGCCAAGTGGGCATAGCTGAGCCATTGGATGCCTGCTTGGTCAGTACACACTTATGGGGTGACACAAGGAGATGCTGTTAATTGTTAACCCTAGGAGATGAGTGGCTGCTGCAGAGCAGATGAGGGGCTGTGGAGTCATTAAGGTTGGAAAGACCAGGAAGACTATCCAGTCAAAATGTCAACCCATCCCCACCATGCCCACTCATAGAATCATTAATGTTGAAAAGACCACTAAGATCATCCAGTCCAACCACAGCACACCATCACTTAAAAGCAACTTGCTAAAGCAGGAGCAATGCAGAGTGTAGGTGTGCAGGTACCGGCGTGCAGGTGGATGCACATTCGTGGGATGGAACCCAACCTGACATGCATCCAGGTTGGATATTAGGTAAAACTGCTGCTCAGAAGGAGCAGTGATGCGCTGGCATGGGCTGCACGGGGAGGTGGTGGGGTCAGTGTGTTCAGTGTGGAGATGTGGCACTGAGGGATGTGGGCAGTGAGCATAGTGGGGGTGGGTTGGGGTTGGACCTGGTGATCTTATCCAACCTTTATGGTTCTATGAAGGCAATAGAAAGCTGCCTGAACATAGGTGGCGTCGCAGTCTGTTCAAACTGCTATATGACATAGAAGGGCCGATATTTTGTCCTTTATTTCTGGTTGTGTTTTCATCACCTCTCTCAGTCCCCATGCCCCGCTGCAGTCGAAGTGATGTGGGGCTGACATTCTCGCTTTATCTCCCGCAGCCAAGAAGAGGATGAAGACGTGTCCTCCCGCTACTACGTCCCCAGCTACGAGGAGGTGATGAATGCAGGCTACGCAGAGCCTCACAACCCGGAGCAGAACCGCAGGATCAGCGTCTCACTGCCCTCCTATGAATCACTGGCAGGGCTTGATGAGGGCACACAGCCCACAGGAGCAGCCGGCGCAGAGCCTGGCACCGAGCGGCCGCCGGGCCGACACAACTCACGTCTCAGCAAGCGCCTGAAGCCCCTCAAGGTGCGGAGGATCAAGTCAGAGAAGCTGCATCTCAAGGACATCAGGCTCAACCTCGGTGATGGGAGCAGCACCGGCCCCATCACAATCGAGCCATTGACCCCACCTCCAAAGTATGAGGATATCCAGGAAAAAGCACCCGGAAGCCAACAGTTGACTTAGAAAGGAGGGGTTGGTCGTTGCACGGATTGGAAACATTCGGAGAGGGCTGGTCATGGAGTGTGGGAGTGTTGGATGCTCTCTGGATGCTGAGGTACTGATGTGGGGGAACTGCAGCAATGCACGAATAGGAGTGGGGCTTCCCAGGACAGCGTTGTGTCAAACACCATGGGGAAATGGTGATGCTGTGAAGGATGTGAAGGCTGGAAGAGTCAGACGTGTGTTCTGCGTTGTTTTAAGTTAAGGACCACCTAATGTGTCTTCTCTCCTTTGTGCCTTGCCCCAGCAATGGGTTTCCAAGCCACCAAAATGCTATTTAATAAGAATTTTCCAAGAGGAAAAAGGGAAATGTTCTGTCTGTCTTTTTTTTTTTTTTTTTTTTTTTGTCTTTTCTTTTTGAGTAAGGCAAGTAAAAGTGTCAGGTTAGTGATGTAGCTGTCACCACTCCGGACACCAGTGGGGTTGGGGATAGTGGCACAGGGCTGGCCCAAGTGCCTGCGGAGTTGCATGCTTGCTGGTGCGAAGAGGAATGAAACAAGCCCTTAAGCTTGTCAGACCTATAGGCTTTACCCATAGGAGGTTTCTTACTGGCATCACTGCCCATTCTCCTGTAGGAGAGGACTGTATTTCTTGCCTCAGTGGTTTTTTCTTTTGTGTGTTGTGCTGTGAATCGAAGGGACAGTCCGTCTGGGGCTGGAAACTGCAATAGTGTACAACTGCCAAGAGTTGTTCAGAGCGTTCTGGGTGACATGACAAGACCGTGCAGTGCAAGCAGTCCTTTTCTAAATAAATATTTTGTACGTGGGGTGCGTGTATGTGTGTGCATCTGTGTGTGTAGGAGGCCGTTCCCATGGATTGAAGGCCAGAGCTGTATGAAATCAGCCAACTGGTTAAGGGTGGATGCTGCTTCTTGGGTATCCCAAACACGTGCTACCTCCTGGGCAACAGCATCTACAAAGTCATGCTTTCCCCAGCCAAATGTCCATGCTGTGTTATTGTTTGCAGGATGCTGATCTTGGTGTAGGTGTGGGGACGGTTGGCTTGGTGGTTGGGGATTTAAAAGGTATGAGATGAATACAAATGGTCGAAAAAAGAGGGTGTGAATGAGATGTTGGTCCAAATCCATATGGTGGTACCTGTGATGATTTATTGCTTCATATTCTATTTCATTTTTGCAATCATATTCACTTTGCTGTGCCCCAGGGGATGACATGATCTCAGGCGGGCAAATCGTGTGATAAGGGACTTCCTTAATCAAATTAATGGAACAACAACAAGAAAAAGAGCACTTTAAACATGAGGAAAACTTGGGGGAGGTGAAATGGAGATCCTTGTTTATCACTGTTGATGATGAAGGGATGAAGAGGTTCTGCTGCTCGTTGGCAGCTTTTCCTCATCTCATGGGAGTGGTTCATCCTTTGTGTGAGGGTCGCGTGGTGATATATTGACAACTGGAAGAGCCCTTATTTCTGAAGGGAAAGGAGAGGGAGAGGTGGCAGCCATCTTCAACGTCATGTCCCTTCTCATGGCTGGAAGGAAAACCTTTGTGTGCAATATACGTGCGGGTTGAGTCACTATTTTGTGGGGGGGAAGTGCTGTCGAATCGAGTTTCTTGGGATTCAGCACTCAGTGTTGCAACACCCATAAACCAGAGTGCAACACCCACCACCTCCTCGTTAATCTCATTAGTTTTGGCGTGGGTGTGGAACACGTCCCCAGGGAGTTTTGTGGTGCTTTCCGCAGCCTGTCCAGGGCCTGCCAGCCTGTCAGGTGCTGGCGGAGATGAAATTGCCCGTTTTGAGATCTAAATCTCACGTACTGTGAGGTATTGATGTCCTTCTCTTGAAACGTGGAGGGAGGTCTGTGTGGGAAGGAGGACAGTAGAGTGAGGAGGGAGGCCTGGCCTTCACCTCAAATGGCGGCCATCATGGCGGCTTGGTTGCCATGGTGACAGGGATGGGGCGAGGGAGGAGGGGGGAGAGGAAGCCCTACAAAATGGTGCCCAGAGCCCTGGGAATGCATCAGACCATCATGTTGGCATTCAAACCTACTCACAGCACCCCGGGCTTCGATCTCCATTTAATTAAACCCCATTAATCCCCTCTCCACAGCAGAGGAGGCCCCACAAGCCAAAGGGCACTCGTGGGCCACAGGTGGTGGATGCTGTAATCCATTGCAGGAGATGAAAAGCAAGAGAAAAAGCAAAAAAATATATAGGCTCTGACATGCTCAAACCAAGTAGGCTGCACGACAGTGTTCTGATATGGGGAGAAGCAATGTCCTTGGAGAAACAAGGAGCTGCAACTGACACGGAGCTGTGTTGTGCCCGTTGCTTGGATAAAGGAGAAAAAAAAAACAAAAAACCCAACAAAAAAAACTGAACAAAACAAACACAAGAAGGAAAGCAGCTGGGTTTTGGTGTCACAGGGGTTTCC